CAATTGCAGATTTATTATCATAATAGGTTGATGCATAAGTCTTTTCGTTTTTTTCGTACTTCTGTTAAAAAGTAACAAATTCACCAATTAATCTATAGTTTGCTCTATAAAAAAAGTGTTTTTTGTTCAATTTGCATCTTTTTAAATCAATTTCGGTTCACTTTCAAGCAAATTCGAGAGTGAAAAATGCCTTTTTCGTAAAAATCTATAAAAAACTCTACGGAAAAATTGGCTCAATGAATTTCTCTGAAATTTTGGCGAAATATCAAACTTTTTTTTCTCTATCTTTTATCTATTGACACGAAGATAGGTTTTCTTTAGCTAAGGTGTCTAAACCGCATCATCGAGTTAGCCCTTTTTGACTACCCGACTTCATACTCTCAAGAAAATCCAGGCATAAAATATTTTTAAACCCGTTTTAATGTTATTTTGCAGAAAAATAATTCGTTTTTCTAATGAAATCAACCGTAGTTTAATTGGTGCATTTGTTGGCTTGAAACGGCAGACGAAAAGGAACAAAAAGACTTATGCATCAACCTAATAGCTTGCGAAAAGCTTTCAGAATTAGCCTTTTACACTTCATAAAGCTTTACAGTTACACATTTTGAACAATGCAATTGAACAATTCAATTGAAAAATTCAACTGAACAATTTCCAACTAGGATTGTACAATCGTAAAACTCTAATTTGAACGTCAAAGCATAAAGCTATGAATACTTTATGTCATTTCACTGTTCAATACCATATTGTCTTTCATTTAGACCAGTATTAGAGGTCTACGAGTTTTGGTGAAAGATGGTGAATTGAAGTATTTACTCAAAACAAACGTCGAATGGCTGGTTGAACACGCATGTAAGGAAAGCTTTACATTTACACATTTTGAACAATTCAATTGAACAATTCAATTGAACAATTTCCAACTAGAATTGTACAATCGTATCATTGAAAAAAATAGATTCAAAGTGATGAGCAGAATGAAATTTTTTGGCTTTATAGTTTGGCAAATCTTTTTTTCATTTCAAAAGTTTTATACGAAATCAAGAAATGAGTCTTTTTCGATTCGTTATCGTTTTGGTTGTGTCGAATCCCTGGACGAGCAACGTGGAAGGGCAAGGTCAGCTCACTTTTGAGCAATTCTGTGCCGTTTCGGCTGTAAGTTTTAATCACTAAAAATCACTAACAAAATTCAAAACAATCGTCTAAATACTTCGGTACCTAAAATATTTAAAAAATTCTTAAAGCCAAAGAATTAAATTAAGATCAGAAATTTGTTACATGCAATCTTCTTTGCTCATTGACTGAATTCCAATGCAATTGCAGATTTATTATCATAGCTTGCGAAAAGCTTTCAGAATTAGCCCTTCAAACCTTTAAATTCGATCTTTTTTTGATATCTTTGGAATCTTCTTTAATCAATCAAAAACTAAAAGCCATATAAAAGCCATAAGTTTAAACTTGAGCTATTGGGTTGGCGAATTGAAAACTGCCGGATTTTGAACTAAAATTTATTCAACATAAAACCATAAATTCATTGCAAATAATTTTCATTATTATTGGCGACTTCTGCCCATTTTACAGGCAATTTGCGGATTCCTCTTTCGTAGTAGGATTTGGGTTTGTGTGTGAGACAAGTGCGAGACTCAAAAATGGAGGACTGGAGATGTCCCAGTTTGAGCATTTGAGCACTTTCTTCAAAAGAAACCCATTTTGGTGCCAATAGAAAAGTTGTAGAGAATCAAAAATTAGGCTTATAGCCAAATTTTCAAAAAGATACACTTAGTAGTTTCGCTTAAAATGCAAGTTTTGTGAAAATTCGTAAATTTGGCATTTCTTAAAAACCAGTTTTTGAATCGTTCTGAAAATTTGGATATAAGCTTGATTTTTGATTCTCTACAACTTTTTCATTAACACCAAAATGGGTTTCTTTTGAAGAAAGTGCTCAAACTGTCACATATGACAATAGCCCGCAGTTTTCAATTCACCAACCCTATAGATCTAGAGTCGATCAAGTCATTCAAGAAAGCGCAGCCTACTTTAGATGCTATTTAAACTTTAATCTAATCTAGATGATGGTGAGAGGCTTTCGTTTCCCGTACATTGAGGAAAAACTCAAGTGGATTGATCAAAGAATGATTGGGTGGTTTCTTCATCGTGGATGCCTCCAGAATGGGATTTATGGAGTCGTTGACGCGCCTTTTACGGTTAAAAAGAATTCTAGATGTTGATACCCGTTTAGGAGGAAAAATGTGACGCGATGCTTCATGAAAAGAAAGATAAAATTGCGGAAATGGCGAAGTTACTGAAACAAGACGGGACTGATAAAGAAGTGGTCAACCATTTGGCGAGTCTCACGCCTTATGCTGGGAAGAGGTGAGCATGGTTTTCATCATTTAGAAAAGTACACTTGTCATGGTGTTTAAAATTTAGCAAGTAGATATAGTTCTTAAGCCATAAAGATTATCGTTGATAGTCTTTAAGGTCGAACTTGACGCTGACCTGCCTCTGATCTTGATCTTGGCCCTGATCAGACCTGACTTGACTTACAGACCTTACTTTACTACTAATGCCTGTGTTCTGACTTTGAAGTAGGGCGGAAGCCAGCGGTTGTGAAGAGCCGGGTATTTCCTTCTCGTTCTTCCTTTCTCTTCCCCATTTCCTCTTTCTTCTCTGATAAGAAGATACCCGATAGCTCAGTGGTTAGAGCATCTACCTGGAATGCAAAAGGTTGAGAGTTCAATTCCCTCCCTTGAAATCTTTCTTTGCTATTTCTTAGTTTACTTTATTACAGGACCTAGGGTCTGATTTGAAAATTCATATGCCTCAAAAGTACTCTTGCATTGGATTAGAAGAATAAGCAGTCAGTTCCACGAACTTCAGATGTGACGAGCAACAAAGCCCTCCATGCAACTATTGGAAAGAGTGCGGTGATGCGGATGGTTGTTGCCTCAAAAATATGGAGTTACCTTTCGAAGTCGAGGAGTGATATGAATAAAAGTTTTGAGTTTTAAGAGAGAAAGCGTTGTACGAAAAGTATCTCATCTCCTTTTGAGTAAAGAGTTATCTCATCTCCTTTTGAAATTAGCTTTGAACCTAGTTGATTTAAAATACCATTGTACTACCATAAAACCACATTTTTTCAGCATCATTTGCCAGTACTGTAGCTCATTACCGTACTGTCATATTCTTCAGTATCAAACTCAAGTTCTGAATTGACTTAGTTTTGTATTGACTTTCTTTATCGATCATATTTACTTTCGTTTTTGCCCCATAAACCGACTATAGTGCAAAAAAAGAGAAAATCTAATGCATGTTTGCATGCTAACTCTAATATGACACCAGAAGATTATCATATAATCTAAATGAATAAAGTTTTTGGCTAAAAGTCTTAGTTTATATAATAACTCTAATATCACACCACGATGTCAGTAGAAAGCTGTCGACTTTCCCCAATTGCATAGATATCGTGGGTATGGCTCAAAAAATATCAACGCCATCCACGAAGCTGTCATTCCGTGAGCGGCCAAAGTTGTGATTTGTTCTGTGGTTTGCATGTTAACTCAATATGACACCATGATGCCATTAGAAAGTTTCAATTTTATGTTAAAAATCTCATGATGGTGGCAGCGATGGTGGCTCAGAAATTTCATGTATTGGGAGTCATGAAATCGGGGAAAAAGTGAAAGAATATCAAAAATTATCAAAAAATATTCACTTTGGCACCACAACAATCACCAGAAGCCACTAGAAAGTCTGAGAAAAATCGCGCTTAACTGACTTTTTTTTGAAAAACCCTGTATTTCCAAATGTGAGATCCAGCCGCATTCACCGTGTAAGAATGAGGAAAAGACCGTTAAAGTTATTCAGCTAAGCAACACTCAAGTTCTGAATTGACTTAGTTTTGTATTGACTTTATTCATCGACCATATTTACTTTCGTTTTTGACCCATAAACCGACTATAGTGCAAAAAAGAGAAAATCGAATGCATGTTTGCATGCTAACTCTAATATGACACCACGATTTCAGTAGAAAGTTTCAATTTTATCGTAAAATTCTCATGGTGGTGGCAGCGATGGCGACTCAGAAATTTCATGTATTGGGAGTAATGAAATCTCGGGAAAAAAGTGAAAGAATATCAAAAATTATTAAAAAAAATATTCACTTTAGCACCACAACCAGAAGCCAGAAGCATCACCAGAAGCCACTAGAAATTCTGGGAATAGCGCTTAAGTGACTTCTTTTAAAACACCCTGTATTTCCAAATGTGACATCCAGCCGCATTCACCGTGTAACTATTTTGTTGAATGTGGAGTGGATAAAGACTGTTGTTGGGAAGATATGAAGCCCTCGATGTCACCACCATCTTGCAACAGTGTTTGAAAAATTTACTATAGAAATTTAACACTATTTCTCAATCACTGTTCCAAGAAAATCCACTGTAAAGCAAATATCTTTTAGAGAAAAGAGCAAATATCTTTCAAATTCCCGGAAAAATCGAATTAAGTCGATCGGTTTTAGAGAAATTTCAAAGAAAGGGAATGATCTTTTGAATGTTTCTGGGAATGACCTTTTGACTCTATAAAAAGAAAACAAATTAAACTTTCTTATAAAGATTAGCAAAGTTTTTAAATTTTTCGTTCAATTACTCATTATCAATTATTTGTTTTGTCCTAGAAATTCTAAGAAAATAATTTAAAGAATGATGAGCCATCATTTCGAGTATTTACCCACTGAGGGGATGATTCATTAGAGAGAAAGTAGATGATTCATTAAATAAAGAGAAATTTGAAATAAAATTTTTCTTAATAAGCGTTCAATTATAGGAAATATTGGTGCAAAGATTAGATTTTTACATCTTGGAAAACTTGTCATTGGATCTTCAAGTTTTCTGCTTCTCCTGGTCCTTGTCTTACAGTATTCTTAGTCTTTTCTAATAAAATTCATAACTTAATCGTTTCCAAATCAGTATCTACTTATTTTTAATATAAATTTTAGTTTCAGAATGAAATGGTTATGGAGACCCGAATTGAATCCAGAGCGTCCGGTTCGAGAGGAAAATTATCGCTGTTTTTGCGCGTTTCTGACGGCAAAGGTAAGTTTTAATAAAAGCCTAGCAAAAAGCAAATAAAAGCAGTTCAATAGCAAATTTACATTTAAATATAGCAATCTAATTTCTATCTATTATTCTTTCCAATTTAAGACCACTTTCTTTTCCAGGTTGGCTGTGCTTTATTCATTCTCCTCGATATTTTCATTATCGGAGTTTGGAGTACTTTACTATACTTCCTACCTCAATATTTTTACTTTTGGGTAAGTAAAACTCAGATTTTTCAAACAGAAATCAATTTTCAGGCAATTGGTATCGCGAATTCAATCTTTTTTATCACCCTTGCTCTTTTCGCTCTCTACAAACAAACACCTGTTTTGATTCAAGTTTATTGGATTCTATTTGTAAGTTGGATATCTTTAAATCTAAAGCTTAAAGATCTTCAGTTATTTGAGTTAATTGTTTTTTCGATATTGTTTACTGTCTTGAACCTGGTGGCAAATGGGGCAGTGATCAGGTGAGTGATTTTGGGAGTAGGCTAGTTTCCGCACCTTTGTTGCGCAACTGGGTCGTTTGCTCAACTCGCCATAACTTTCTTCTAAGTCAGCCAATCTTTGTGATGTTGGTTTCATTTTGTTGCACGTATTGAGCTCTACAAAATGACACCAAAGTCATAAAGATTGGTCCACTTAGAAGAAAGTTATGTCTAGTTGCGCAAATGACCCTGTTGCGTAAAAAAAATTGCGGAAATTAGCCTATCCCAATAATGAAAAAAAACGAATCCTTTTATACGTTCATTGCTTAAAAGGTACTCAGCTATAGACTGAATAGATGCTCTTTAAGGCTCATTTTAGAATTTAGCTAATTAGTGAAGTGTGGAAAGGCGTAATGTTTGTTATTGAGGCTAAAATTAAACTAATTTTACTTGTTCGGGATACGGAAAAGTCTGTTTGTTAACGAGCTTTTTGCTAAAGTGTTTTGCTAAGGATTTTTTCATAAGCTAATTTCCGTATTTTTTTTTTGCGCAGCGGGGTCATTTGCGCAACTCGCTATAACTCTTTCCTAAGCGGGTCAATCTTTATGATGTTGGTGTCATTTGTAGATCTCAATAAGTGCAACACCTGATCACCCTTACTCCAGAGAGACTTCATTAGCAAAAGGTCGCGGGTGCAAGTCCCGGTGGCCCACGAGTTTTTGATCTGCACTAGTTTCAATTTTGGTTTCATTTTGTAGATCTCAATAAGTGCAACAAAACGAAACCAAAATCATAAAGATTGACCCACTTAGAAGAAAGTTATGGCGAGTTGCGCAAATGACCCTGTTGCGCAAAAAAAATTGCGGAAACGAGCCTACCCCTGATTTTGTACAAAACTTGTCAGTAGTTTAAAGCATAACTACTTTTGGGCAAAAATGAGCTTATACTTTCTAAAAACTGTCGTGATTATTTGAATCCTTTAAATGTGATTCTTGTTTGGGATCCATCACAGCCTAATTTCAATAAGACAGTAGCTTCTTAAGCCAGTAGCTTCTTAAGCCAGTAGCTTCTTAAGCCAGTAGCTTCTTAAGCCAGTAGCTTATTAGGCCAGTAACTTATTAAGCCAGTAGCTTATTAGGCCAGTAGCTTATTAGGCCAGTAACTTATTAAGCCAGTTGAGCTATAGCAAAGGAAATAACTTCAATATCACCCGTTTCAGCTTTATTGTCTACTTTGCCAATGACAAACTATTCATCCTGTATTCGAGTTTGGTTATGTTAGGTGAGTGTTTAACTATGAAATGTACGCTACAAAAAGTCTTTGTTCAGCTTCAAATCTTCTCATGATGTTGGTGATTTTTGTCGGCTGGTGGAGAGCCACCGTTACCTGGGGTTACTATCGCTTTGCTAGGTGAGATCAAAAAAGATAATCAGGTCAAAATGTTTTCTAAAAGATGCAAAAAGTTACCATACCCTGACTGCTTGCTTAAATTTGTCCCAACGAGACATGGGCAAATTCCGCGCCGAACCTAATTCCACTTTCGTTTTCTTGGTTGCTCCTTGATCGATTGATCTGAAATTTTGCCTACAAGTAGGCCGAGCTCTACCTGTAGACAAGATTTCAGATGAATCGGTCAAGGAGATCAAAGGTCAAAGGTCCAAGAAAACGAAGGTAGAATTAGGGAATCTCGGGACGGAATCTGCCCATGTCTAGTCCCAACTCATCGTAGATGGAAATAACGTTACTTTAGGGGCGGGGGTGGTTACTTTACTTTCAATGTTTTTTTTGCGCAACTCACCATAACTTTCTTCGAAGTGGGTCAATCTTTATGATTTTTGGTGTCATTTTGTTGCACTTGTTGAGATCTACAAAATGGCACCGAAAATCATAAATATTGACCTACTTAGAAGAAAGTTATGGTGAGTTGCGCAAAAAAAATTTGACGCCGTTACGTTGACTGAACAGGATTACAGTAACTTTTGCAGGAATCTTTTAGAAAACAGCAGAGTAGTATAGCAATTAAAATACATTTTGACTATTATACATTTAGCATTCAAAGACAAAGTTCAAAGTTTCAGAGACAAGCTCTTGGCAAAAGAATTCGAGAATCCAACTGGCTGGTGGAGGATACCGTGACAAGCACAGGAGAAATGAAAAATTAAACTTATAGTTACAATAAGTCTATAGAGTTTAAGTGAAATGTGTAAATAGATAACAGCTTTTTTCATTTACAATTTCAGTTTATGTACAGCTTAATCCCTATACGATAAACTTTCCCTACTAATCGATTCAAAAAAAAACATTTAACAGCGAAGGTGTAAAAACAGAAAAAGTGTTGATTCTGGCTTAGGCTCAGATCAATGGAAACTTGGTCTCATTCAAAAAACGAGGCTTGTTGCCCCATCCTTATCCACTGCTGCTCTGAAAGTATATTTTGGTATTTTTTGAGAGATAATTGTCTCGAAAGGTGGCGGATCGGGCCAATGAGTCTCCGGGTGGGAATCCCTGCTTCGATACGGGATCAGGCTTCATGCACATCGGGTATTTTGGATTTGACGTCGTGGGGCAGGGAAATTGGACGGGTGGATTGCCAGTAGACTATATGGACGCCAGCTTGTCGCCGCCAGATTCGAGAATTCGAGATGCTAGTAAAGAATTGCTGACAGTGAACAATAGATCATTTAATCCTAGATGATGAATGACGTGTCGTGCAAGGCGGCGCACCTTTGGGCCAGAGCCCCTCCATCCCATACGTCCGCCCGTTTTCTCTGCAATATGCCAAGTGGGAAAACTTTGAAAAGTGAAGCGAACAAATAAATGGTTTTTTTTGAGTGTGCACAACACAAATCAGCAGCAAAGTCCCATGTCGTGGCACTGTAAAAATTTGATTAAACAACCATAGGCACAAAAAGCTTCACGTCAATGTTTATCCGATTAGCCAACAGAGATCACTGTTCACTTTGCGGCATTTTCTTAGGTCTATAGTTTCCAAGTCTATAGTGTAATGATTTTAATATGAATACATGCATACAAGTACATGCATAATCTATATGCATTTCAATTGAGAACAACAACAATTAAGCCATTTTTTTATTGAGACATTGGCGAAAAATTGCTATTTACCGAGCTTTTCTTATAAGTTACGATGAGAACATTAAAAACAAGCACGCGAAAATCATTTCTTTTTTTATACCAGAAAATCGGGGTGATTTGGAATATTGGCCTGAAGAAAAATGCTTTATCTCTCCATCGTCTCGATCATCTTTTTGCCGGAATCCAGTTACTAATAAAAAGAACCGAGGCAGTCGAGTATTCCACCAGATGCAATTCTTTCCATGTTGGGGCCAGGTGAACGTCCATTCGCTTCCAAAATTCACCCATACGAGCACGCATTGTTGCCCGAAATTCGGCTAGGGTCTGGAGACTTTTGAACAGCTTTTGTCTTTCTTCTTGATGCTCGACTTCGTATTCCCACTCACCACACAACTCCGGAAACGCTTCTAAAACTGTGTTTTTGAGATCAATTTACAAGTCAAAATATTGGGTTGGTGAATTGAAAACTGCCGGCTATTGTCATATGTGACAGTTTAAGCCCATTCTTCAAAAGAAACCCATTTTGGTGTCAATGGAAAAGTTGTAGAGAATCAAAAATCAAGCTTATATCCAAATTTTCAGAACGATTCAAAAGTGGTTTTCAAGAAATGCCAAATTTACGAATTTTCACAAAACTTGCATTTTAAGCGAAACTACGAAGTGTATCTTCTTGAAAATTTGGCTATAAGCCTAATTTTTGATTCTCTACAACTTTTCTATTAACACCAAAATGGGTTTCTTTTGAAGAATGGGCTTAAACTGAATCATCTCCAGTCCTCCATTTTTGAGTCTCACACTTGTCTCACACAAAAACCAAAATCCTACTACGAAAGAGGAATCCGCAAATTGCCTATAAAATGGGCAGAAGTCGTCAATAACAATGGAAATTATTTGGAATGAATTGATGGTTTTATGTTGAATAAATTTTAGTTCAAAGTCCGGCAGTTTTCAACTCACCAACCCAATAATTTCAGTCCTACGCCTTACGTCAGAATCTATTCGTCTTTAATTTCTTGTAACTTCATTTTTAGGCTAACTCAAACAGGACTTATTGGTCACGAAACGAAACGAAACTTTTGGAAAAGCTTAGAAAAAGTTTGATTAGTTACTTCTATCTATTCGTTCTCCTAGTTTAAAACATTCTGAAGATATACACTGTATTTCCAACGTACTTACCGCATGCTGAGTAATAATCGGCGTTGTACAATGCGACCATTTCTTCCAATAACTTTCGCAGTTCTCTGAATCGCACATTCACATATCCGATCAACGAGAGCTTCACGGGTTCCACTGAACCCCTTGTCAGCACGAATGTCTCGTCCAATAGGACCACGGTGTTTGTTGACGGAACATGTACAAATAGGTAATTACCACGAAAAGCCACTGGCTGATCAATTGAGACAAACAAACATTTTAACGAATAATCTTCAACTTTTTCTGTTTCACGTAGAAACTCTTCAATCAAATGGAGTACTGTCAAATGTTTGTCAATGTTTGCGTACCAGAGCAAGTAGCTGAAAGCTCGCTCAAAAAGACGATACTTTTCGGTGAACGCCCTTTGTTCGTTTGTTGGCGGAGGTTTGGGCGGCAATGTTCTACTCGCAAAGTAATCGATGTGCCGTTTACTCTGCTCACAGTATGGCATCGTCGCCCATTCGTGTATTGGTGGGGAATTGAAGAAAAAGTAGAAATCAGAGAACTCATTGCTTGGATCAGCATCCCGAAAGTGCTCAACAAAAGCCGCCGTACTGGCGTCTCTTTTGTAAAAACGTCGAAATTGTTGGTTTTCACTCGATTCGTCGCCATCTTCTTCCATCTCCTCTAAGACAACGTCTAAGCAAAAGCGCTCGTAATGCAGCCGGGAATTGTATTGGCTAAGGATCACACAACGGTCGTGCAACGCTCTTCGGATGGCCTCTGTGTCGAGAGGGAGATGGTAGCCCCGCCGATAGATTCCTTCTAACTGCTTCTCATGTACTTGATAGCACTGGGCGAAATCTTTGGAAAAATAGATGGAACGATACGGCTCGATGCTGACCCATTCCGTTTTCGAGTTGCCGAAATGGATGACAAACGCAAAGATGCGTCGTGTAAACAACGCTTCAATACTCTCAATCGTTCTCGTGGCTATCTCCAAAAGATTCGACAAATCCGAATTCATCAAATTGCCTTTATCGAATACCCATAAGGTGGCGCAAGCATTTTGCACCACAGCATTTTGCAGCTTATAATCGATGCGAAGGAGCTCCGCAAAGTCCGCGTCCTTCTCCTCTCCTTCGTCATCTCCGGGGGTATACGTCTCCATCAATGGAACGTTGAAGTGAGCAGCCAATTCATTTTTTCTTGCCTCATGCACCTTTATCGTGTCCCAGCAGCTCTCCATCAAATGCAACCGTTCCGCTTCCGGCATTTCAGCAAGACGTTCGAAACGGTCAAGTAACTTTCGTGTAACAATTTTCCGCACTTCTAACAGATTCATATCGTTTGCATTATCTGGATATTTTCTGAGTACCGATTTCAAATCTCTGTGTACTTGAAGGTTAAAACCCAAAATCGGCTCCCAGACCACTTGGGCCTTGAGTTTTTTCGTCCATTCATCGAGAATTTTCTCGTAGTGTATAGGCAAAAGCATGCCTTCCCCAAAGGCATTCTCTTGCTCTTTTTCACCACCTGACAACGAAAACGTGGATAGCGTGGGTACATTGTACAGTCCGGGTGGTTCTGAAGCCTTTGTTTCTTGTGATAGTTTGTAGTTCTGAAGTCCTTCCAACTCTTCTTTAACTCTTCCAACTTCTCCTTCTTTAACCTCTAACTTCGGTTTATCCAAGGAATTCGAGGAAAATGTTGACAACGTAGGCACGTCGAATTCTTGTTTCGGCGCAAAAAGATCATATTCATCGTGATATCCGTCTATTCCAATCGTTTTCAGTAAAACCTTTTGAGCAATTCGTTTCTCAGGAAGAATCCCGAATCGCTCGATTTTCTAAAATGAAGTTTTACTCAGATTTTAAGAAATAGGAACCTTGGGAATCTTTTCCACTGCTTCCAATGCCTCGCGCGCGGTAAAACGCTTGCGAAAGTCCTCTTCTCGACATCTGAACAAAAACTACAGTAAAATCTCTCTAATAAACAATCTCCATAGTAACCAGACATTTTGAAATAACAATGAAACATTTTAGTACATTTTCTAGCTCTCCAATAACCAAACTTTTGTAATAACCGGATTTTTTAGGATTCCTTCCATAGCTTACTAGAGAAATTTCACTGTATCGTATTCTCTTGTAACGACTTACTTGTTAACCAGTTTTTGCAGATCGCTCGTTTCTTCACAAAACACTGATCTGAAGTCTGATTCGGCTGGAGTCCTAGACCCGAATATAAAATCTTTCTTAGAGAATCGTTAACCTTCTCTCAATCACTTCCCACAGTACAATCCCTGCTGCATACACATCACATTTGTAGAGATCCTGAACAATTTTGTCAAAAAATAAATACCTATTAGGTTGGCAAGTTATAAACGATCGTTTTTGGGTAATGTGTTTTCTGAAAAAACGGGTTATCCAATCAAAAAACGGTTTGCTTGATTCAAAAGCCCTATCCTTAATCTACAAAATGGCTCTTTTGAATTTTTGAAAAATGTTTTATTTGAGAACTTTTTCAGGCATTTTAATGTAAGAGTTCGAAATCCTGGTTTCTAGCATTCATGAGCTAATATATTTTTGAGTGATTGCATACTTTTTAAAATAAAACGCTTCATCGATTACATAGTTTCCCAAAATTTCAGAACAATCCAATCTTCGGAAGTAGAGTGTGTTCCTTGCAGACAACGCGTTTTCTAAAAAGCGCGCGCCAAGGATAAGCTACCGTAACCCTATGCTTTGCATCAGCAAATTTTTCAAAATGCAAATGTACATTAAAATCTTGCGCTCTTTTTTTCTATTACTCTTTCCTTAACTCTATTACTCTTTCCTTAACTCTATTACTCTTTCCTTAACTCTATTACTCTTTCCTTAACTCTATTACTCTTTCCTTAACTCTAT